TACGCAGAACGCTGACCTTTGCAACAACGATACCAACACGCCACAAAGCAAAACTGAGAAAGTCACATCAGCTGATGGAGTCGCAACGCCGCCTTCACAGCCTGAGGAGCCAATGCAGAATGGAGATCATCCTCCCGAGACGGAGGAGGAACCAGAACCGGAGCAAGAGAGCGAAGAGCCTGCAATGCAGATGGGTGAGCCGAAGGATGAGGAACCGAAAGAGGGCCATGTTGACGAAGTAGAGCAGCCGAAAACGATTGGCTCTGCAAAGGCGGGGAAGACAAAACACACCATCCGTTTCCGTGGCGCCAAGTGGGGAACAGTGCTCGAGAAGAACTCTGCGGAGCTGGAGGCGGCCTTCAAGAAGGACGTGGTGGAGGCAACTGGACTGGACGACCAACGTATTGAGAAGCTGCAATTCCGCTTTACTGATGCGATGGTCGCAAATTTCTTTGTGCGCCACCAGAACGACGCTGAAAAAATGGCAGAAGTCCACGCTACGCTGCAGTCATACAACTTCCCGCGTACTACCGGCGTTTACCGTGGCAGGGGTTTTTTTACCGCCCGCATCCCTGGAGCCAAGTGGGCTCCAATTCTGGCGAGCAATCGAACCGCTGTGGAGTCTTCATTCAGGCGAGATGTGCGGGAGGCTACAGGGATGGGAGATGCCTCTATTGGAGATGTGGCGTTCGAGGCCACGGATGCGCTTCTTGTGAAATTCTCCCTGCGGCACGGCAATCAGGCTAACAAGAGGGATATGTTAAACAAAACTCTGCAGTCGTACAAATTTCCGCATACTACGCATTTGTATGGTGGCAAATCGAAGCATATCGTTCGATTCCGCGGCGACAAGTGGGGAACAGTGCTCGAGAAAAAACGCGCTGCACTTGAGTCCGCCTTCAAGAAGGATGTGGTGGAGCTGACTGGACTGGACGAGAAGCGCCTTGTGGAGTTTGACTTCCAGTTCAGCGATGCCATGGTCGCAACTTTCTCTGTGATCCTCCACAACGACGCCGAGAGGATGGACGAGGTGCACAATACGCTGCAGTCGTACAGCTTCCCTCACACGACCGCTCTGTATGGTAAATCGTAGAAGGATTCTTCGAATCAATATATCAACGGAACTCAATAGTCTAGAGATTGTTCATCCAGGGAAAAGTATTTGTACAACAACTAGTGGTGCCGACGATTATCGCGGACACCAATATCACTAAGGAAAAGTATAATAACATGATACGAAAGACTCTCAGGATCATGGTGCGGATCCGCGCATATGTGAGTGATTCTGTGTGAATATTTATATCATTATATATATTGTGTGATAGCACCGTTTATGCCGTTTCCTGTTTCCAAAGGCGGCGATAGAGCCCGGCGAGTCGTAAGAATTGATTTTGTGAAAAGCCCGGGAAGGTAGAGAACAACATATATTTTTTTTTGGATGAACATGGTGAAAAGCTTGGGGGAAAACAAT